GTCTACTTGATTGGGGATTAAAAAGAGCGCCGCTCTCCTGTCAGCTCTGGCACCGGTCACAACCGCTTCCCCGTCGCCAGATGAATCGCTGAGGGCATCAGTCACCGCTTCTGCTCGAAGAGACAAGCGAAAGGGTCTGTAGTTGAAAGTCAGGAACTCGCCTTCGCTTGCCACATGGTCTGGGTAATCGCTCAAATCTTCGACAGCGTGAGAGCCTCCCAGTAGACAGGCTTACGCACAATGGCGTCTGCCCAGACGAATTTCCAGGTCAAACTTAACATAGCAGGCTCAGAAGTTGCATGCCACGCTGCTGGCCATTTGAATGAGACATGAATACGCATTTGTGAATGCCACGTCCAACCACATGTGACGCAGCAAAGGCAGGGATGAAGCAGCACAAGTATTCTTACAAGTTCAAACATAATTAACCCTTGCAGTTCCATCCTAGTGTCACTTAATCTCATTGAGAGTAGCCAAGGTATTCTCAAAGAGGCCAGATTCCAACAAGTTTGGCTGCTACTCCATCACAAACTCTCATGGGTTTGCATGTGTCCCACGAATTGTGTGGTGCTATCTATCAGAAGCATGACAAAGCATTTAGTCAAAGACCAACTTGTCTATAGCATTGTTACACAATGGAATATGTAGCAATGGTGATCAGAGCTTTTCTGTGATTGTTTTTACCAGAAATGCATGGCTGAAACCAGCTTGCCTATTGCAGGGAAAGAATTGCCGCTACTATTTTTTCTAAGCATCCCTGCTGTCTTACAAGTAGCCCTAATGCGTTCTGTTTGTCATCTTTTTGTGCACTGATATTATATATTACCTGTTTCATTTGAAGTTATTTTGCCTCTTATGTTACCTGTTAGTACAGTGCCTAATCTGTAATCAATGCCTGTCATGATAGTGAGGGTCATTATTGCTGGTATCAAAAAAAAAAAAAGATCAACATAAATTCAATTTTTTTTTTGTGCCACACTGCAGGAGCAATCTTTGGCAAATACTATTTGCAATTTATATCTTTTCTGAACCTTTAACAACTCGAGTGTGAAGTTAAGAGACCCAAGGGGTAACAGTAATGAAACAATGTATAGAGAGATATTTAAGTAATTTGGAGGTAGAATCCTCCCAGAATGAAATGCACCAATTTAGAGCTATGTCATGCATTTACTTTCATGTCCACAGCTGTCAGTTCCTGTAACATTGGCGTGATATTGGCTTCTATGCTTACACAACAGCCAATACCAGTTTTAGAGGCCAGTTAGCAGTGACATTTATTTATTTATATATTTACAAGTACCTTACAGGCCTTGCAGAGGCGTTTCGTAAGGGGGGGGCGATACAAAGTAATAACAAATTTGGTTAACAAGTCAGTAAGAACAATGTAGTACGTCAACAACAGCAAAAATATGTCCAAGTACAGAAGTAGTCGTATGTATTCCACATAAATAGGTAAGTTTAAAACATGCAAAAAAAATGCAATAGCGTGTTGGACAGATCAAAATGAAGCGTATTGAAACAGACTACGCAGTTTACCGTGTTGGTTTGGGTTAATGAACAAAACTTTAAACAATAGCTCCACTGTGATGATGAAAATAAAAAGAAAAAGAGGATACATGAATCCTGGGAGTAAGTGGACCAGCTAAACATTATCAATGAAATGGTTGAGAAGATGCTCGCGAAATTTATTGTGATTACGCTGAAGGGTGATGCTGTTTTGAAGATCATTCCACAGTCGTATGGCACGCGGGAGTGACGAGTAGTTAAAAGCATTAGTGGTGCCGTTGAGGTGGGTGTAGCTGAAGTCATTGTGTAACCTGTGCACAATCACAGTGCACAGGTTGCAAGTGAGAGGAAAGTTGTAATTGCGCTAGCGGTGATCGAGTGGCGTAGGCATATTTATGAAAGAGAGACAAAAGCGCCATGTCACGACGAATTGCTAATGGATGGAGTGAAAGTTCGAGCTCTAGCTTGGTTACACTGGACCAGTTGTTATAATTCCGCCTGATAAACCGACAAGCCCTGTTCTGAATAGCTTCTAACATCTGTATTAAATATTTTTTGGGAGGTGACCAAATGGATGATGCGTACTGTAACTGGGGCCGAACAAATGTTTGGTAGGCCTGTTTACGTACGTGAGGAGTAGTGGATTTTAGTTTGCGACGAAGATACCCCAATGATCTTGAAGCATTAGCAGAAATGGTAGTTACATGGTTGACCCAGGAAAGATTTTATGTGAGGTGAACGCCTAGGTACTTATACCCTATGGTTCTAGCCAATCTGTTGTTACTGATGTAAGGAAAGAGCGAACAATCTGGTTTACGGGTAAATGAGATAATTTTACATCTTGAAATGTTAAGAGTCATTAGCCATGTTTTACACCAGTTGTTAATGCGATCCAGGTCACTTTGGAGGAATTGGTGGTCATCCACACTTTTTATAGAGCGATAAACAATGCAGTCGTCAGCAAATATACATATACTAGATGGTATATTATGTGGCAGGTCATTAATGTAAATTAAGAATAGTAAAGGACCAAGGACGCTACCTTGCGGTACCCCTGATTTGACATCTGAAGGAGGAGAGAAGTAATTATTAACAACGGTGAACTGCTGGCGGTTAGAAAGAAAGTTTTGTACCCATGACAAGGTTAGCAAATCTAATTTAAGCGCAGAACGTTTTGATATTAGTCGCAATGTGCTACACGATCGAATGCCTTAGAAAAGTCTAAAAGGGTGCAATCTATTTGTAAGTTAGTGTTCATCTTGTAATGAAGGTCAGTAGTGAATTCGAATAACTGTGACTCACAGGAGAAGCCTTATCGAAATCCATGCTGGTGTGGGAAGAAGAAATGATTAGATTCTAGGTGATCGTATATATGCGATGCTATAATGTAATCGAGCATCTTGCAGCATATGCATGTTAGTGAGATGGGGCGGTAGTTTTCGTGCTAATGTTTATTACCACTTTCGAAAACGGGTACTACCTTTCCTATTTTCCAATCTGTGGGTAATTCGCTTGTTGATAATGACTGTCTATAGATGTGAAGTAAGATGACGCTGAAAACTGAAATGGTATTTTTTAGTATTTTTTAATTTAGTTCATCGACACCGGAGGACGAGGACAGTTTAAGGTTATTGATCAAATGTACAATGCCATTAAGTGTAATGCCAACAGGTGCCATGTGGTGGTAATCGAAATCATGGACATAAGGGATGCTAGATTTATCTTCTTTGGTAAAAACAGATGTGAAAAACGTGTTTAGTATAATGAAAATGTCAGCATCCGGGTATTGAGTCTTGTAAGGGTTATGTATTGAAATATTGTTACTCGAGCTACGTTGACCTATCGTTTTCCAGAATTTACTAGAATTATTTTTTAGTAGTGCGGGAAGGTCTTCTGAAAAATACTTATCTTTGGTTTCACAAAGGGCAGCACAGTACGATTTCAGGTAGTTTTTATAATTAAACCATGCATCTGGCGTACACTCAATCTTCGCGGCATTATACAGTCGCCTTTTCCTTTTTCGCATATGCTGATGTTTTCTCGTAAACCAAGCGTTTTATCGTTCGATATTGTGATAAGCGGAATGTGCATAGATATTAATTCTGTGAGCTTGTCTCTAAAAATAGCCCAGTTACTTTCTACAGACCTGTTATGAAAGTGGGGCATCAAGATGTTATCAAAAAAGACTTGCAGCTCGGCATTAATGCAATGGTAATTAGCTCGGTTATAGTCTCGAATCTGTTTTCCTTGTACACTAGTGAAAGGAAGCGGAATGTTAATGGTGACTTGAAGTAATTTATGGTCTCTCAGTCCATCCAGTAAGTTGTGTATCAGGGGCTGTTGTAAAGATGAGGTCTAGTGTATTTGGACCACGGGTAGGCTGGGTAACTACTTGAAATAGGTTAAAATCTAAAGTCAGGTTAATCAGGCTAGATGAAACAGTGCATGAGGATGACAGCAGTGTACAGTCAATCTGCGGAAAATTAAAGTCACCGAAGAGATAAGTGATATCTGCATGGAAGAGCTCAAGTGATCTCGTAATGCTTTCCTGCAGCTTGTCCGAGAAGGAGTGATCGGAGTTTGGTGCTCGGTAACAGTTGCCTGTCAATAATTTGGTGGAAGATGTAATACAGGCCGTCCATATGATTTCCAGATCAGAATTTGTATTAATAACAAATGATGTTAGCGATTTTTTAATGCCAAGCAGAACACCGGCCCCTCCCCTATGGGTGCGATCACCTATATGTTAAATGAGTTGGAGCCTGAAAGGACTTCGCAATCACGGATGTCTGGGTGTAGCCACGTTTCAGTGAAAGCGATGATATCGGAACCACTGTCTTCGAGGAAAGATGAGGTTTCAGCACACTTAGATAATATACTTCGAATGTTAGTGAATGATATTGACAAGGGGGAAGACAAGATGACAGGTTTCGGCTGTTTTAAGATGTGCGCACATTCACTGCGCATGAGCTATTGATGAAACTGCAATAACGGTAAGAGTCGCCACATTGCAAATATAGGTTTTAGAGTCCATGCGCAGTTTGTCAACCGACAACTTGTACTTTTTCTGCGATTTTGCGAAATTTATCAGTTTTGCCCTGGCTTTGCGAGTTGCAGGCGAGAAGTCTTCGTGTATCGCAAAATTCGTTCCCTTAAGTTTAGGCCCCAATGACAATATGAGTGCTTCGTCCTTGAAATAGATCAATTTGGCAATTTTTGGCCTTCGCTTTTCAGGGGTATATTTTCCTAAGGGGTGAACTCACTCAAACTGAACGCTATTAGTTGTCATCTGCAATTCTTCCGGGCAGAATTTAACTATTTTGTGTTCGGACATTGCCCAGTGGCATGGTTATCTGACGAAATTGGTCATAGTCATTGCACTTTAAATGTCGTTATGTTTCATTCTGTGAACACTGCGGGTACAAACACCACATGAGTGGTAATGAGCAGTGCTTACAAGCCATTCTATTGACCACCTCGTTGTCGCCGTGCAGGGGCCAGGTACCCCTGGTGGAGACGTCAGCCCACGAGAACGTGAATGTGGACCTTGCGTTTCTACTAGTTGCACAGCTGGTTGACCGGGGCACCAAGGGTTCCAGTCGATGGGCGGGCCGGGTACCATCGTTTCTCGAGGCCAGCCGGGCACGCCGTGAGGCTCTCGACCAGGCTACCGACGCCTTCCAGGCAAGTGCCCCATGTTGTCTGCACTTGCATCAATCATGCCACAGGCTTTAAGGAAAAACAGCTCGCAGCGTTGATGTCACAGTCATGTGGTGCCTGCTGACTCTTTTGAACTTCTTTCGAAGTTAGAAATTCTGTCTCTGGCGATTTTTCGAGTTTAATAGATCTCAATGAAATTCGTTGGGCAAGTTCATTTGCAAGTTCCCATCATTCGTCTGAATGACAGGCTGAAGAGATATGCAGATTTTTTTACAAATGAATTTTATAGATTGCCCGACTCCCAGCTGGCTTCCAGCAATTATTGGCAACATTGTGTGTGTGTACCAACGCTTACGTCAAAGTGGCAGAAATGGCGGAACTGAGGCGCCACTACATCATCTGCTGTTCACAAGGCAATGGTCGTGTGTGTTGCTTAGCCAGCGTTCCGTTGGTCCGGCATGCTACCTTCAGTTCGTTGTAGGCCTGCAAGCGATGCGTGGCAGGTAGTGTTGCATTGTGGTTGCACACGATTCCCCGTATAATTACCTGAATATTCAGGAAACACTTAGAGGTTATGATTACCCTTTGTCTCGATACTATCTATTGTTTTAGCTAGCAGTGTCAGCTCACTCCATGGAAACTGTGTTAATACCATACCAGAAGAAGAGGGTCCATGCAGGGACATTACGGTAGTGTACTAGTGTACATCACAGCATGGAAACACTTATTACAACATATACAGGGCGCACCATGACCAGGACTGGCGTGTATTGCGAAAGGGGGCACGTACTTGGCCTAAATTCCCTCAGCCTTGCCAGTGCAATTTTAAACTTCGCTATTGCCAGACATACGCACTCTTTCTATAGCAATGTTAAGAAGCCTCAGTAAGTCTGCAAACTTTTTAGTAATAGCATTTTATCGATCACGGCCCCTCAAACTTGAGTGGCCTGGGCAGGTGGCACCATCTGACAGTGGAATGCACAGCCAGCAATCGCCATTCCTCTTCGGCCATTTTACTTGGCCTTCACATGCATCTGAATCTCGGCTGTCATTTTTAGACAGCTACGAGGAACTTGTGCACATAGCACAGTCGGTAACAGACATGGTGCGGCTGTTGCGATGGGGTCACCTTTCGCTTGAGCGTCTGCTTTTAGCCACTCCACACTATCGAGACCGGCATACCATGCACGGTTTCCGGTTTGCATGGTTTTTACCAACGCTTTCGTCACACGAGGATAGCACTGTAGTTGGGTCTCGGTTTCGGTGTCACACTTTATAGCTTATTTAAAATTATTCTAAATATTGTGCCGAGTATTTCTGCCATCAGGCCCATGACAGGAGCGTCTGGGGAATATAAAAGCACTCTTACTTTGACATAGGAAAAAGATCGCCAGAGTTGGCCTGTAATGCAGCTTTGAAATGTGCCATCATGGTTTGGAGAGCAAGGAATCATGTTTGCAAAAAGAATGCTGAAAATTAAAGTAGCACAACATTTAAACAAAAAAAAAAGGAACATCGCAAAATAAGGTTGTACTGGATGACCTGGACCAAACCTTTTTAGTGTCACTTATATGTAAGTTGAACACGTCAGTAGTATTGAAGGCCTCATAGGAGCTGATGCATAACACTCACTCACAGTGAGACAGCGCGTGGAAAACGGGACAAAGAGAACAACACACAAGACAGGTGCTGACTGAAAACTCAATGTTAATGAAAAGAAAACTCGCTTCCCATAGTTGACAAAAGCATCACAAGAACACAGCCATAGATATCTCCTCACGTGAACATTCTTGAACAAAAAAAAAAAAAGGGTTTCAAAATGCGTGACAAACATAAATAACTACAGCTAAGGTCGCCAAAACTGCATAACGAAAGTTATCTCACAGGTTTATCTGGAAGCTAACCCATACCCAGCCTCGGACAAAAGTAGCGAGGGGCAGCTAATACACGTGCTATTCTCCTTCTTAATTCAAGGCCACTTGAACTACAGTAAAACTTCGCTAATTTGAAGTCACTGGGGCCGCAAGAAAGCTTTGAATGAAGCGAGTTTTTGAATTAACGAAACGCACAAGAAGTGGGATGCAAGGAACTTAGAACTATTCAAAGTAGTCAGTGCTCGTCGTTTGCTGTGCCGGCTAGCTTGCGGCTCCAAAGGTCATGTTTTCCAGCAGTACCTAGTATTTATTTTGCCGGGAACATGGAGGAACTGTGGGCCTCGCTGCTGCTGCCCCCCCCCCCCTCCAAAATAAAAAATGCGGTCGAGATTGATTAAAATGTGCGCCTGCAGAAAACAAGACATCTTCACTGCAACACAGTAGTGACATGCGGACAGCATGTCGCCTGCTCCTCGCTTCGTCAGCACGTCATCATGCGACCATTCGCGCAGTCTTTCTAGTATAATTACGAATTTAACAATGGCCAGTATGACGAAGCTCACGATGTGTTTTGGCTGGAAAAAATGATCTTTGAAACGATAGAACTTAGTAGGTGTTGCTGGCGAGAACTCCGCCGGCAGTGCAAAGATGCCAATTGCTGAAGCAACGGGCAAGCGAAGGTTTTTGTGCTTTGTGTCAAATTTTTGCTTTTGTGTCAAATTTTTGTCAACTGTAAAACTTCAGACTTGCATTGACTGATCTCTACGTTTATTTTGTCCTCTTTGCACTCACATTCATACACCAACCCGATCAACCTTGTCATTGTGCACCTCCACAGGCGCTGGTGCGAGCCCAGGTGACCGACCCGCGCGCACAGTGGGCCGGTTGGAGCCAAAGGCTGCTGGGAGCACCAGAATGTGAACGCTTCTGCGCCCTGTTTGGCCGAGCGGCGGCGCGGCTAGCCTTCGAGAAGCATGTGAGACGGTTACGGGAAGAGCACACGGCGCGCCGCGTCCGGGGCTTTCTTCGGGCTCTTCCCACGGCCTTGGCCCAGCTGCTACCAAACCGGGATGCCCTGGGTGACAGGTGAACACTCTCGATTTTCCAAGGAGTTAATTTCCAGTTACTTTTCTTGCATTGCCTTTTGAGAGAGTGTGGAACATCTAATGTCCCTGGTGTCGGTGTTTTACCGACCTTGCTTTGACCATTTTGGTTTTGGCATAGAGCTTCATACAATAACTGAGAGGGGAACTGGCGCTGAATTTATGGTACTAGTGTGAGAATGATGGGAAGTATGGGCTTTGGATTAGATAGCATTATGGGGGGAAGAGGCACTTAGCCATCAGGCATCTTATTATTCAAGCTAGGGTGATAAAAACTTATCAGATCGTGTATATACATGTGCAGATGTCAAATATGAACTCAGTTTTTATGTACCTCTTACCGTTTTGTTTTTAGTTAGTCATTAATTAAAAGCTTTTTGATCACCTTTTCAGTAAATTGGCTGTACAGATCTTGCTGAATTAAATGTCATTGCATTCTACAAATAGGAAAGAGTACAAAAATCAAGTTTTATGGCTCTAGCTTTCCTACAACAAAAGTTATGAAGCTTAGAAGTTCATCCTTCCATTATCAAGGAATGATAACTTTTGTATTTTATTTTTTCTAAAAATGTATGGTGTCCTATTGTTGCATATGGCACTTTCTTGCACTCACTAAGCATCCAGCTTCTCAGCAAGACAAAAATTATCAAATTCCTGTGTACCAAAGCTGAGAAGCGCTGGTCAGAAGAATTAACGGTGGTGAAAAAACTGAAACTGAGAAAATGGCAAAAAACAAACCTCTGTATATTTAATTAATTCCACACATACAAAAATGCTTCTCTTTGCATATAAATGCCTCGGAAAGCACTAGGGCACTAATCTTTGTCACACTTTTGTTGTTGCCACCGCTTTGCTTGATGTAGGAACCTGGAAGATGTTGAACGCTTTCGCTTGGCTTTCATGATCCGACGAGAATGCTTCTCTTCTGCCCGTGGCTCGCTCATGGAGTTTCGCTCTAGCTGAAGTTCTTTGAGGATACGTATGGAGGCTTCTTTCATTCCTGAGTTGAAGCGCATCACGGCTTCAGCAACTGCAGTCTCAACAGCTATGAGTGAAGCATGCTTCTCTTTAGGCATTAGAGACCATATCACAAAATGAAGCGTCTCGTTTGCATTTTGTGTCTTGCCTCTTTGGCAGCGTTTTAGTAGCTCCTTGTCACAAAGTCGCTCGTAGACTGGAAGTAGTGCATCACGGAAATTTTTGTGGGAAGTTGTAGGTGTGTCTTGGCAGCGGTTCTCCCGCCCCGTCGGGGTGGTCTAGTGGCTAAAGTACTCAGCTGCTGACCGGCAGGTCGGGGGTTCGTATCCCGGCTGTGGTGGCTGCATTTCTGATAGAGGCAGAAATGTTGTAGGCCTGTGTGCTCAGATTTGGGTGCACGTTAAAGAACCCCAGGTGGTCGAAATTTCCGGAGCCCTCCGCTACGGCGTTTCTTTATAATCATATGGTGGTTTTGGGACGTTAAACCCCGCATATCAATCAATCAAGCAGCGGTTCTCTACTTGTAGCAGCAGCATTTTGCTTGCACCATGAGTCACTGCCACTTGGGCACAAGGCGTGGTTGGACCTTTCATTCAGTCGATGTCACATGATAATATGTGGCCATGGCTGCCAGGTGCATTGCATCTACGTCACCAACATTGGACTTCAGAGCCCAGCCATAGTATCTCGACAATTTCTCTATAACATCACCTGTCAAGCGGCCTCTTCCACTTAGTGTTTCGCGAGAACCTCTATGCTTTTGAACAAGATTGCGTAGTGCAGTATCCATTTGTTTTTGGACATAGTTTATGCAGTCCTCGTTTTGAACCTGTATGGAACCATAAACTGTCGAGTCTTCAATAGCACGAAATGATCTACTGTCCGCATCACACAGCATCACTGTGTACCACAAGCCGTGACGGGAAATTGAGCGCCCAAAGAGGGTGACTGCTGCCTCCACTTCCATGTGCCCTGATTTGCACTGTGTATTTTTCTGGCAGATGTGCGTGGACTCCCAAACCAAGTAATTTGGGTGCTCTTTTGGTGGTGCAGCGCTTGCAGCCGGCAAAAAAATTTGACAGGACAACATAGCGTAAAACATAGCCAGAAAACAGCTCTATAACAACACCCACTCCAATGTGCAACAGGTGGCCTCTGGTCATCCAGGTGCCATCATAACAGATGGCCACATTTCCTGGGTTGTCAAAGCACAGATCTTGGTATAATGTTTTCACTGACATGGCACAATCAGAGAGGACCTTGTCTGCAGCTCTTGTTCCTGCGGGATTCAGTTTATTTTTCATATGGCTCTGATAGCTTTTGTGGTGAAGTCCCCTGTGAGAAATTCTAATTACAGAGAAGATGTCGTTTAGGGCTACCTGGCCATTTCCTGTGCTTTGCATGGCACGGGACACACGGATATTCACTTCAAATGCAGTGCATTTAGCCTGACTGGGTACCCTCCCAGAGCTCCACTCACTGTCAACAAGTCCACAGTTGCGGCACTCTGAAGTCAGCTTCATCGCAAGTCCATATTCACGCTCACCTTTTTCAATAGAAATGGTCCCACTGCATGTCTGGCATATAGTCATACTTTCAAGGAGCTTGTTTATCGCGGATAAGTCGACGATCCCGTAGGTAGTCGCTGACGGGCCCGAGTCCTCGCTCGCTGTCATGAACGTTCGCAATTTGCGCTCGCTCGCCAAAGTTGCCGATAAGCTGCCGATCTTATCAGCACTCACTTTCTGCTGTTGCGCACGATCGGTGCTCGTCAAAAAGGTTGTCTTTCTCTTTATGCGCTGCCTATCTCCGACGTCGTCCGAGGCGGCAGGTGAAACAGGCGGAGATGTCGGTGTTTTATCCGGCGGATCATATTCCAGTCGCTGCGCCGTCCTGTACTAGGTGCGCGTCTGGATATACCCTGTGCCATTATATCTTTTTGCCGTAGATTTCTTGCGCTTCTTTCCAAACTTGTGAGCGGTGTGGAGCTTGCGATACGGTTTCGGCATGATGAAATGTTCAAGCCAGGTTCAAAACGTGGCTGAGAGCTTAGGCCTAACACACTGGCCCGGTGGCTGTGGTGCGCTTCGTTAGGCTGGTTCGGCGGCCTGAATGTGCAGACTTGAGAAACACTTGCTCCAATTTCTCGCTAGCTCGCGCGGGTTCAGGAAGCCAATAAGAACAATGGCATGTGAGCGAGATTCACTCGCCGCTTCACGTGCACTCCACTGCCGCACGCAGCAGACAGCCCGGAAAAACCCGGCCGAGAGCTTAGGCCTACCGCACTGTCCCGGCGGCTTCGTCGAGCTCGTTCAGCGCCATACCAGTATACCGTCGAATATAGACTATACAGAGATGCTTGCTCTAATTTCTCGCTAGCTCACACGAGTTCAGGAAGTCGACGAGAACAAAGTGACATACACTCGCCGCTTCGTGTGCGCTCCGCTGCCGCATGCAGCAGACAGCTCGGGAGGCCTGGCGAATCGGAAGGCGCAATTTAGTCACCTGTCATCACCGCACCAATAGGCTCACGCAAAGGGGCTTTTTTTTTTAACGTGGATTCATGGCGTGCATACTGAGTGGACGAAAACAAGTGAGGCGGGATATGAAAGAAAAAGAGCGGCTCTTTCGAATGTGACCAAGACGGCTGCTGTAGCAAGCGTAGGACGGTAACACCACTGGGCAGAAAAAGCCCGTTTTTCAGCGCATCCATCACCAAAAATTCAGCTCACTAACGTCGCAGAAACTACTCTCATGGCTCAATTACCAATCGAGGATGCGTGAAAATTGACGAGATTATGCAGGGATAGAGGGAGAATCCGAATATAGCATTTCTAAAAAATCCTATTTCTTGTGATTTTCGGTCTCAAAGACCCGCTTCTCCCCTTAAGGGGGTAGACTGGTCTTAGACAATTTTGTTTATTTCTTCAGTGATCTTGATCGAACTACACGAGGTTACACAGTTTTTCTGCTGATTTCAAATATTTAATTAGTTTTCCTGTAACTAACCTTGTTCCTGAGATAACTTAAGTTCATCCCTTATTGTTTAAAGCCACCATAGAAAAAAAGTGCTTAATTAAAAGGGATATTTAGGATATGCCAACATAGACTAATGACTATACAATGAAATTATGGAAGAGTTTTTTTTTTTAGGCTTTATTGGTTATTTTACAGCAAAATGAATTATCCATTTTCAAATGCAGTTGGAATTGTGTTACAATTCTGATTAGTGATTAATTAAAAAGGCATGTGCTCTAAATTCTGTTCTCATACTTGCATTCTACACTGGTACAGGCTTCCACTGCAAAGAGAATTATTGTTGTACCTGCCCTAGCTGCAGAGATATTGAGGCCTCAAAATTGAATAGTCGCAAACTTACTTTTTAAAGAAAAATGGAAAAAACTGAAAACACACAGTTTCTTCAAAAAGCAACAATAATGGTGCGCATGCTTTGCAATCCTCATAAAGAAGCCCATAAATTGGTAGTAGAGCTTTAGACACAGGTGCTGGCAAATTATAAAGAAGCCTCAAAGTCGGTTCCCCATTTTTTTGCAGGTTCTGCATGTTAACAGCACCAAAAATCTGGACAGTTAAAATGACATTACAAAAATTACCACTTCCTGGTGTGTAAAAATTTGTAGAGAGATAGAAAAATACTTGCAGAAACCAAGTATGTCAATTTTAAAAAATGAATTTTTTTGTCACTTTTTGGTTCCAAAGACCAGTCTGCCCCCCCTTAATTAACGAACTGTCGACGGATCTTTTTCTACAGTTTCATATACCATGCAGCATGGTTAGTTGGGTGCTTTGCAAAGCACTCAAGCAGTGCCTGTGTTGTTCAAAGAAGCTGAATACCGCTAGGTCTCTTGGCTTGCTGCGACGTTGGAGCTTTACAGGTTGTATTTCACAGTTTTAGGAAGAAGTGGTGCACTCACCACTGCGCATAGATGTAGCGTCCCATGCCAGATATGGCGTAGAGTTCGAGTTTTCTTATAAGCGTGTCTTGTCAAAACTCGTTCAAATTGACTATAAAATTACGGTGAAGCCATGTAGACACACCGTCACGCTACTTCGGTGTGACTTCACAACATAAAAGGTGTGTTGGGGCATACCACTGATACAGGTGCACCTGGCATCACAGCAGACGATAAGTGTTCCTTACCTTATACAGTGCTCATATTTTCATATATAGGTAATGCATACTGAGAGAAAAACAAGCATGTTTGTTTCGAAGTGTTGTGAAAAATTTGTTAAATTGTGATGCTAAATGTGGAACAGCAGTCGGGGCGTGGAGGAAGGAAACAGCTTTCCTTCCTCCACGGGTTGGGGAGAGCAGCAACTAGAGGGTCGCGGACGCAGGGTGGGCGTTTAACAATAAGAATGTATGGGCACATCGTTGATGCCTGATCGGTGGTCGAAATTGGTTTCCCGAAAAGTCGGCAGACCGCTGACTTCGTTCGCTGTAACCGATCAGCGGCGCTCGGAGACGTTCGTTGTAAGTGCGATTTTGTGCCATTGAACCAATGTATATTTTCACGGTCACGCAGATATTGTTCGTTTTAAGCGAAAGTTCGTTGTAAGTGGGGCCGTTATATCTGGGCTCGACTGTATCTTGATGTTGACTGTTATATTCCCACAGCAATGTCTCACCGTGGCAAAATTTTGTCCATTTGCTAAGCGACAGCCTACCTATGTTACAGTGACTGGTCGACAGTGAAAGAAGAACTTCTGCGGCCACACGCGGATTTCGATCAATACTTTGTGGACGACGGGGGTGAGTGGGAGGACCGGTCGCCCGTGGATGACCAGGATGAAGAGGAGGACGGCCGCATCCCATATGCCCTGCTGACGAGGCACGAGGCCGAGGCCTGCTTCCAGGAGCACCGGGCGGCCCTGGAGGCTGAGGAGCGCCGGCAAGAGTTGCGGCGCCAGTTTCGGCAGCTTCTCGAGGAGACCGGCTATGTGACGCCCGGCAAGAGCCTGGGCGAGGTGCGCGTCCTTTTCATGGGGCGCGAGTGCTATGAACAGCTGCCCGAGGCGGACCTGCTGGAGGTGCGTGCGTTACTTTACTTTTTCGTTTTTCGGTTACAGCGAAGCTGTTGAAGCGTACCCGGTGCAGTAGTAGTAGTAGTAGTAGTAGTAGTAGTAGTAGTAGTAGTAGTAGTAGTAGTAGTAGTAGTAGTACACTCAAACCTCGTTATAACGAAGTTGAAGGGGAGCCACAATTATTTCGTTATATCCATTATTTTGTTATATCGATTATAATAGTTCGTGGCAATGTATGCTCAGATGGGCGCACAGCTATAAGCATGCTAAGAAAGAAACCGCCTTGCGGCCCGATGTACCGCTACACAACCACACGTGCCACGGAAAATAAACTCAGTTGAATCTCAATAATTCGAACTTCCGGTTAATTTGAACTCATGCTGAGGTCCCGTCAATGCTATGTGTATTCCAATGAGCGAAAACACCCTGTAATTCAAATGCACAATCACTTGCGACGGTTAATTCGAACATACCGCACTCTGAAAATGCTCTTAGCACCATGCTTTATCCCGCGGCGGCACCTCTCAATGCTGTGCGCGAGGAAGGAAAAGAAGAAAAGGAAAGAAAAGACTTTGATGGATTGTTTGCTCTCTTTCAAATGGCGATCTGCGATGCGCCTGTTCACGCTTCTCCATTTTCTCTCTCTGTACATAAAGACCCTTCTCCTTTCAAGACCGCGCGCGCAGAGAGAGGGAAAAAAAAAGAAAGCTGTCGCGGAGAGTATTCCTTTATTGGTGCAGAGGGTAGCAGCCATGGTAGCTGCGAAGACGCAGTCGTTGTTGTTGTGAGAGGGAAATCGCTTTGCACCGCGGCGCCGCTTCTCAGTCATGTGACCCACTGAGCGCTTCCTCAATCCTCTCCACTGGCTGTGTGAGGAGGACGGCTCTCTCAGCTGCGCGGGGCGTGGCTGTAGGTCGGCGCTGGAGTTTTGAGAAAGCTGCGCCGAACGAGCGTCAAACTCCGCAGAAAATGCAATACTTAACACACTATGGTCATTTTTTTTGATAGACTGTTTGATAGACTACTTTAGTTCGTTATATCAATTTATTGGTCAATTTTAGTTCATTACAACGAGGTTTAAAATACATGGTTCTCAATGGAGTTTTCAAAGGGAATTTCATTTACTTTGTTATATTCATTATTTCGTTATATCCCGTTACGTTACAACGAGGTGTGAGTATATTAGTAGTAGTAGTAGTAGTAGTAGTAGTAGTAGTAGTAGTAGTAGTAGTAGTAGTAGTAGTAGTAGTAGTAGCATAGGTCACATGACTAGGCTTATGTGAATATTCGAAGGCTTCGAATATTCGAATGAATATTACAGCATTCGAGTTCGCTTAGGTTTAAAATACATGGTTCTCAATGGAGTTTTCAAAGGGAATTTCATTTACTTTGTTATATTCATTATTTCGTTATATCCCGTTACGTTACAACGAGGTGTGAGTATATTAGTAGTAGTAGTAGCAGTAGTAGTAGTAGTAGTAGTAGTAGTAGTAGTAGTAGTAGTAGTAGTAGTAGTAGTAGTAGTAGTAGTAGTAGTAGTAGTAGTAGCATAGGTCACATGACTAGGCTTATGTGAATATTCGAAGGCTTCGAATATTCGAATGAATATTACAGCATTCGAGTTCGCTTAGATCTGAATTTAAATAATTGGAAATTTCAAGGTACAGTTAAACCCCTTTATAAGAGGCATGCTCCGGGGCAGCAATTCTTGTGTTTTAAATGAGATGTCTTTTATGAGCTGGGTACCTTGCATGCATGTTCTCATCGACCAGTATTTTACTGTAGGCACACTGGTGTCTTTTATACCCATTTGTCTCTTATATCAGTATCTCTTACAAAGGGGTTCAATATGAATGAATAGTTGTATAACAAGTGTTGAACACTGGGCGAGTTGGTAAGGGTTTATCTTCTAGCAAACTTTGCAGCAGGTGAGACACAAAAGAGGAACGAAAGGAGACAGACAAGCACAGAATTTCGACTGATTTATTGAAACCATAATCGACAACTAAATAGTGTCCAGCAAAGGGCAACGTGCCATAGCCAAGTTTTATCAGCGTACCGCAAAACGCACATAAAAGCCCACAAATAAATAAATCGGACAGGTGCACGTGTAAGGCCACGCAAGTCAACAGTAGCATGTAGAACTGAGATATGCATATTCCTTATCTGACAGACTTATAGAAGGTTCAGTAATGCATCCTTCTCCCTTTCTTTTAATGTGGGAAGCTTCTATTATTCTTTACCCAACGTATCTCCTATCCCTAGAAATGATGTTCGCATATTGAAAAACAGGCTCATAACAGCACTCCCGGCAGAGCTGGAGTGATGTTGCAAACCTGGCCACTTGGATAGGGGACACTAACGAAGTGCCCGGGTTTTCATTTGATATATATATCGAAGAGTTCAAAATGTATAAATATGAGATTAAGAGAGCACAAGCGTTCACTATCTAAGTGCCTTGGCAAGTAAAAAAGATGGCAAAAAATAAGGGGTGGGCAAATTATGCGAGTAAATACACTTGACTCTGATAATTCGGAGTCGTCTAATTTTAATTTTCACTTGAATAGAAGTCAACAAGTGGTCCCTTCAATTTTGCATGCACGTCTATAGGAAAAATAATTCGAAGTTAGAAGCCCGGTAACTAGAAGTTTATCAGTCAAGAGCCTCGAGGTGACCGGAGTTTCTAATGTGCCAAGACCGCCAAGATAGCTGTCAGAGGGCGCTCTTGTTGCTATCGTCTCTGCCCGCAGTGCCACTCTTTTGAAAGTGGCCATCTTATTTAGTTAACGCCGGTGTACTGCATTGATTGCATCGGCCAACTAGGTCTTTTATTGTGATACCAATTATGTGGACAGTCTCGGCTAGTTTTTGCCGTCGTCGCCGCTGCCACCGCCATCCACTTGTGTGTGTATACACACACACACACACACACACACACACACACACACACACACACACACACACACACACACACACACACACACACAGTCGAGCCCATATATAACGGCCCCACTTAAAACAAACTTTCACTTAAAATAAACAATATCCGCGTGGCCGTGAAAATATACATTGGATTCAACGGCACTTACAAGGAACGTCTCCGAGTGCCGCTGATCGGTTACAGCGAATGGAGTCAGCGGTCTGCCGACTTCCTGGGAAACCGATTTCGACCACTGATCAGGCATCGGCGAAGTGCCCATACACTCTTATTATTAAACGCCGACCCTGCCTCCATGCCCCTCTAATTGCCGTTCTCCCCGACCGCTTATTGTTACGCACCCCTCCGTCCTTTGTCCCCCTGCTACTCTGAGCACACCGCATCGCCAGACGAGGCCTGTGTTTTCACATTGCCACCGATCTTTCGAAGACCAGTCGGTCGTCTACCCTGTTTTTGATCGCTGGTACTGTCATTGGCGTCGCCGGCCTGGAGTGACCAGACCATTTGCCAACATCGTCGGCCACCGACTGTATCAGATAGTCTTCGTCTAGTGCACGTGCGTACGCTATTCCACCGACTCTGATAATTTGCGGTACGTTTTGTGTTTAGGACTTGTTCTCGCCCACTTCGCACTCGGCATCAGCATGCCTTCCGCGCGCGTGCGGAAGCGCGTAAAGGGCTGTTAACTTGCGCGGAACGAATCGCGAAATATCGAAGTTCGTGAAGCCACGCAAACCCGCCGGCGCAACGAAACGATTTTTTGACCACGGCCGCCAATTCTTCGAACACCGCCGCGCGCATCGATTCAGGCGGCCATGCACGTGCGAGTTTCGCGGACCTTTCAAGCAAGCTAGCCAACCTGCCTCCTTCTCGCGTGTTTTGGTTTTCAAGGTCGCCCTCCCGCCGCATCCTCCCCTCTCTTTATCGCAAATCCTTGCCCTTCTTCCGCAAGTCTGCTCTCCTCTCTTGATAACAACCCCTTCGCCCGTCTCCACCGCGACGCGACGCCCGCCACGCTGGCTCGACTTAGTTTAGTTTTCTGACTGGATACGGGCCCAGAGCTCTTCTACGCATTCTGGCATGTGCGTCGCATGTGCGCGACTTGCTCGCTCTTGGTGTGCGTGCGTGTTCATGATGGCCGACAGGAGGGCTAGCACGCTTTTTCCTGCCGCTCAACAAAACATCGAAAGTTTGACTGCTTTGCTTGAGTTTAATCCGCGTGTTAGGGGCCGCGTTGCGGAGTGCTTGCTCATAGCTGTTGACCACCTGGCAGCCAACTTGCCCCTTCGGGCGTCCCTGTATTCAGCTGTGGAGATGGTGAATATTTTGTGGGCGGCGGTGACGGCTACACGCGCGCGAAACTGTTTTCGCAAGGCCGACTTCGTCGACGTCGGGCCTGATGCCGAGCCTGAAGCTTCCGAACTGCGGCGGCGATTTGTGGTCGCGCGTCGTCGACACTGACCTGGGAGAGCGGGTGGGACATCTGTTGCGATGGTTTAATTACGGCAGATGATGATGACGACACTGAGGAACCGTGCACGGATTAGGGCATTGTGAATGAAGTACGTGGCGAGAGCGATATGGAGGAATTGGATTGCGAGAACGACGAAATTTTGGAGCCAGTGCCTCATGCAGCTTACGCCACGGGCATTGGCAAACGAGCACCCTGCCATTTTAAATGTACTCGAGACCACCCTTATCGCTTCTGTTTTTCGAAACACATGCATCACGGACTTTTTGGGGCAAAAAATGTTTGTGCTTTCACTCGCAACAACTTTTTTTAAAAGCTGTGTTTCATTTACTAAGAACTTTGGGATACAGCAAACGGATGCCGCGTCACACTCAGGTTCGTTATAAGCGGGCACGACTGTGTGTGTGTATATATATATATATATATATATATATATATATATATATATATATATATATATATATATATATATATATATTAGTTATAAACTTCGAGAATAGTGCAGTATAGGAAACAAAACAATAAAATATTTATTTAATCCTAACAGTTTCGGCTGGTGGACCAGCCTTCTTCTGAGGATGTGAGTGAAATGGTACA